AGGGAAATTTGAATCTTTGGATTGAATGAGAGGATTTATCCAACCCATAATTTAACTCATGCAAAGGAAAAATGTGTATAGGACATAAGGGCTTAGGGGAGAGACTCTCTTTTATCTGCAGCCAATTCCACCAACACCACTAGCTCCTATTGTTGAGAACATTAGGATGCCAGGGGAGCTACAGGAAAAACAAAGTCTAGGCCAGTTTTCATTAGTCAAATGATTCATTAGATCCTAGATTCCAATGATGAGAAGTAACCATGGCACTCGCGTTCAGTTTACAGTTGATACAGACAGCATGCCAGGTAAAGTGAGATACTTGCATGGCTGGATCTTGGCAGAATTAGTTATGCCAGTCAGAGAAAGGGAGGACTTTCCAGATGTACTAATATTATCTCCATGACAGATACATCTAGCTTTAATTCTCCCTCTTCTCCTACCCCTCCTTTTCTTCCCCTTACCCTCTTCTCTCTCCTTTGCATAGATTTCAGGATCTCTGGTTAAGCAAAGTAAAACTACAACTGATTTGAACAGTTCGTTTCTCCTTCAACTATGCAGGGAAGATTTATGCAGAAACCTATACACTATCATTTTAATTCAAATACTAGAAAAACAACATTTATAAAAAGAAAATTCATCTCACATGAAAAATTAGAAATTTAAATATAAGGCATTACAATAAGTGTCTTTATTTGTAATCTCAGTGAGATTTAAAGAAATGTTGCCTACTTCTGGAACAGGCAGCAGAGAAAAAGAAACATTCTGATGAGGTAAAATTTTAAGAAAGTTGAAAAATATGATGACCACATTTTAAAGTATAATGGGGACACTGGAAGAGTAAATTGCATAAAATAACACAATAAAGTAAAAGAGATTTTAGAAATTTTCCCAGAAATCAGATAAACACGAAGTATAAAAAGAAAAGTGATTCCAGAGGAACAGATACATCAATTTATGCACAGCAAAAATGCCAGAAGTGGAAATCAGATGGAGCCAAGAGAATAATAAAGGTAAGAAAACTTATTTGCAAAAGGAACAGACTAAATTCTCTAGGTAAATGAATTTATCTTATATCAGAAAAATTCATTAAAATACTTGTGATTTTTACAAAGCAATTATTACATGCCTGCACAATGGAAGACATTGTTAAAGCCTTAATAGAATGGTTTCTGTGGCCTAACTTCCACGATATTCCCACAGTCTAGTTCATTTCTCTTACAACAGAGATTGATCAATTCAGTACTCTAATTACAGGTGTTTAAAAGGACCAAAGGATGTGGAACAAAAAGATAATTCGATAAAGATACTTGATGCCTTGCCTCCATTTTCCTATGCCTGCCTTTCAATAGAGACCTTACCACTTCTGAGATTCTTTCCCTCAGGATGATGTGACATATAGAGATGTGGTGTCATGGAGTCATTCAGAACAGGGGTTTCCTTTGCCTGTCTTTTCTTACCCCTAGGAGAACAAAAGAAAAGCATCACATCCCCGGACATCATTCTGCCCATCAAGTCCTAGATCCTGGGTTTAAATACCATTCTCCATTTGAACTGGGCTCTTTGAGAAATGGTTATACCCAGGGTTGAGCCATGGACAAGTACAAGATGAGCCTCAAATGACTTACAGAAAAGCCAAGGAGTTGTTCAAGGAAGGATTGTAGCATGTCAAAGCATGAGGAACCAAATTGAAAGGGCCCCCACCAACGAAATTAAGGAAATTCGAGGAGCAAAATATTGATAGGAAGAGATCAATTACCTATTGAATAAAATAGGACACCATACGTCCATACAGATATACTTAGAAATAAATGCATAAATTAAAAGCTTGATGAAGACAAAGATACATATAGTCTCAATTTACTTTCTCACAATTTTTTTTTTTTTTAATTTTAAAGAGTGAATGAGTAACTTACAGCAGACCTTAGCAGCTCCTACCATAATCAAGTGATTGAAGTGATCATTGTCAGTAATGGGATGAAGTGCAACTGAGTACCAACTGATAAGGTGCAATATGATACAGCATCTCAGGGATCTTGACATGTCATTTAGGATAGCACGTACTGAGTAGATTTTGTTTTAATGCTTGATGAGTTGGCCTTCTCTCGTGATATGACTTTTGTCCAGTACTTGGTGTTTATCTGGTCAGGAATTGGGCTTAGTTTGCAGTTTCTTGTTATGGTTACCCTAGGTATACCCCAGGCTTAAAATTCTTCTAGTGATAACTTGTATTCAGAATATGGCCTAGTTAGCTAGAGGGTTTACTGAAACCCTCAGAGGGAATTTGTTTCTTACAGCATTGTCAGCTATAATTCCGTTCTTTTTTACTTAGAGATTGTTAGCCTGGAGGTGGGAAATTGGGGACAGAGTGTTCTCTGATGTTCAAGCAGGCATTGTCAGTTTCCTGAGGTCACACACCAATTCTACAACATAATCCTGAAGTCAGAGAGTGTTGGGACTTGGCCAATTTATCTCTTTAATCAGGTTATCAGCAGTAGACATTCACAGAGAGCCCAGAACTGGCTGAAAATATGAGAGCTATGTCTGGGGTGTTTATGTGAGGGCAGTCAGTGGATAATGGGGAGGAAGTCAAAAGAGACTCAACAAGTAGTCAAATCTAATGATCCCAGGTAGAAACATGTTGAAGTGGTAAAGTTCAGAAAAACAAAATGAGGCCACTTCTTTTGGAGCCACTTGTCCTATGTGGCTTGGCTGGGGCAAAACTGCACAGAGTATGGAACCTACTTTTATCCTAGGACAGGAAGTGCCTTCTGTACACTTCCTAACCTTCCTCCCCAACACCTCAAAATTCCTTGGCCTGGAAGAAAATACAAAGGGTGAGAAATTTCTCATCCTGCCTAGAAAGTGCCTGAGGCCCAGGAGAGGGAAAGTTTAGGAGTGCACCTAGGGCCTAGGAACCAGGTAATTCAGGGTAGGTTGTGACAGTGAGTATTGTGTCCTTGGATGTCCTTAAGGGATAAGTGTAGGAAGAAGATGCAGAGACAGAGAGATGGAGCTGTGTTTTCAATCTTGAGAAGAAAGTTCTAAGTGGTCGTCTGGCTAAAGTATCAATTACCTGGTCAGCGAGCCTTTAGGTGTCTGGGGGAGAGGGAGAAGTAAAGTGAAGTAACTGCTGGAAAAGAAGAGATGCTCCAGGCAGAGGTAGTTAAAATGGTCAGAAAATCAAATCTGGGCTCCTAGCATCCAATCAGCTATTCTTTTCAGTCCAGGCGTTGTGGTTGAATAGAGTTTGGGCTCAAAAAATGCTACTGTAATTGTAAGGTAATTAGAAGGAACTCAATAGGGAATTCCTGCCATCACTTAAAGAAAAAATTTTAAAACAGTTTCCAGGACACAATTACTCCTCCCAGAGTGCCCCAGGAGAATGCTCAGAGGTTGCCTCAGAGATCTGCCCAGCTTCTGTCCCCATCCCCATCTGCCATGCCTTGGCTGCCTGATTCTCTTAGGGCAACATTCCTGCACCTAACCGTTTTTCTTCTTATGAAATGTCCCTTCCTGTACCTTAATTTCCTCACTTGCCAAATGTGTGTGATAACAGTCTACCTCATAAATTCTGTGTGAAGATTAAGTGATCTAATGTAGGTCAAGGCACTTGAATAGGTTTATGCAGTACAAGTATTAGGGAGTTAGACAGACATGAGCAATGGCAGCAAAGACAGCTCTGTAAACATAGCAACCTCCCTTGAAGACCTTCCTTAAGGACTTCCCAGTAGCACCATCCCATTAGGGTTATAAAGTAACCTAAATCCTAGAGTACAAAGGCCCTGAAAGCTGCTGGCTTAACCAGCCACAAATACTCAAAAAGTACTATCTTAACCTGCCCATAATCCCAGTCTCATTATAATATCATGCCTATGCCCGGAAAGTTCATGATTCTAATTATACTAGACTGAATTCTAGGTAACTGCATGAGCAGTAGGCAGGGAGTTATATAACAGCCATGTTAATTAAAATGACCTCATGTGCAAACCACCTAGGAACACCTTTGAAACTACCCATCACAGCCCTAAGATAATTCAGACCTTCCCACTTCTGCACTGTTACAGCTCTCTTTGCTGAAAACTATCTCCTTCCTCAGAGTGCCTCAGAGTGTACAATGTCTTTTATCTTTTCACCTCCCAAATTCCACAGTGCTGCAGCCTTCCGTAGCATTACCTGTCTCCTTCTAAAATGTACTTTCAATAATTCTTACTTCTAAATCTCACTGACCTGTAATTCTTTACTGTGTCCATAGGAAAGAACCAAGGACCTCCCAAACCCACCTTATGCCATTAGAGCAATGCTGGATTTCACATTACTCAAGCAGTAACAGAGGCAGAGCAGAAATGAAAATGGCTGCATGTCAGTAATAATCAAAGGTTTTTAAACCTGAGAAAAGTGGCTCTGACTAATATAGAAAATTTGGGCTAAATTGAATTTCTTATTGTGGCTTTCAATGGCACATAGAATTCATTTTAAATCCACAGATGAAGACTGATTCTCCCCTTGGAAGAGAGAGGATTTCTTGACACAAACTTGGGAGACCAGTATCTCTGAGGAGAGTGGAATAAGATCTGGGTACAGAAGAAATATTAACTGGACAATACAAGTTTTGAACTAGAAGCTCTGAATTTATAAGGAGAAATGACCATAAGATGATTCCCAATAGAGTTAGTTGACCATAGTCTTCTGAACTTACCTCTCTCCACACAGAGCATTCAAGTTAAACTTCAATTTACTTTTAATGTCATAAGGTAGAAATATTTTATTTGTGCCAAAAGATGATGTATAAAGTTACCCAAGCTGGAAACCAACTAGATTTGAAAAACAGATGCTTGTAGCAAGCTTGGCTACTAAAGGATTTATTTCTGCCAGTGGATTCTGATTTTCCATCATTAACATATTGAGGCTGTTTTATTTGGCCATGACAGGAAACAAACATTGGCTTATTTCTTCTTGCATTAGAAGTTGCTTTTGAGAATTAGTTGTTAGGAAACATTTCACCTTTAATCAAACATTACCAACAGATGGTAGCCATCCAGAAATATTCCAGAGAAATTCTCTGTGAAATGACGTTTACAGTATAAATTGGATCGTAGTATACTATGAACCTACTAAGCACATTTCCATTAAATCTCTGTGCCAGAAATCTCTCTCCATTATTACTATTCACAAGTAGAAGAGGATTTACTTGCACAATTCATTTTGTTTTGTTTTGTTTTTGTGAAGAATACAGATTTACTCAAATAATTTCAATAAATGTATTTGTGGCAGTTGTTCCCTGGAGAAATAGAATAGTCAAAAAATAATAATAAACCTCCAGATTTTGAAGGTAACTAAAAGAAAAAAAAAAAAAATACAGCTTTCTACTCATTCACCATACAGTGAGGGAAACCAATCCACAAGGCCTGTCTCTGAAATCCGCTATTTTACTCCCTGGGATTCACTCTGTCCTGTGAGGGGCCTGGCATGACAGAGCTGACATCACTCATGAGGTCCCAACCAGACTCTTAAGGTCTCAGATAAGAGAAACACACACATACACACACACACATACACACAAGCTAAATGTAAAAAGAAACAGATAACTGTAGCGGAAAAAATGGAAGAAAAAAACCATAACACCTCAGAGACATAAAATCAAGCGACAAAATAAGAATAGGAAACTATAATAAGGACATTGGTTGTCCCGACCCGCAGGACCTAGTTATTGCGTAGAACCCGAGGAGGACCGCACCTTGAAGAAAACATGGGCGGGAGAAAAGAGTGGAGGCAAGACAGTGTTCTGATCAAGCCTCAAAATTTTATTTTCAAGTGGTTATATTTATACACTCAGGTGGAGAGGGCAGGGGCGGGACTGATCAGAGAGTATTTCGTTACAAGCTTATTGGTGACCACCAGATGAGGTGATTTCTACCTGGCTGGTCAGAAACAGATGGGCTGTGCCAGAAGTTGCAGGCTCCCGCTCTGCAGGCGGCGGAATGGGGATCAAAGACACGAGATAAGGCCGGCACTTCCCAGTGCCGTGGCTGCCCAAATGGTCACAGCTAGCAGAGTTTGTTCTCGGTAACAGGATGTGGTTCTTATCTTTGGGTGCAGGCTTTAAGGCTCCCGACAATTGGTGATGTTAGGAGTTGAAAACAGGATAATAAATTTTTAAATTAAATTAAGCTAAAAAACATAAAATTGGATATTTCCTTAGAATTTTATTTTATTTTTTTATTTTCTTTTTCTATGGTGACATTGGTTAACGAACTCCAGTAAGTTTCAGGTGTAAAATATAACAGAAAGGCATATATATATATTGCATTGTATGTTCCTCTCCCATAGTTAGATATCTTTCTGACACCACATATTTGACACACCCCTTTCACCTTATTTAATTCCCTCCTTCTTCCTTCACCCACCCTCTGGTAACCACAAGTCTATTGTCCATGTCCATGAGTCTCTGCAAGTTTGTCCTGTTTTTTTGTTACTTTTAGGTTTATATCTCCCATGTAAGTGATATCATGTGGTTTTCAACTTTTTCTGTCTGGCTTATTTCACTTAGCATGATTAACTCAAGGTCTATCCAAGTTACAAATGACAGTATTTCATCTCTTCTTATGGCTGAGTACTATTCCATTATACATATGTACCGCAGTTTCCTTAGCCAGTCATTTATCATAGGACATTTTGGTTGCTTCCATGTCCTGGCCACCAAGAATAATGCTGCTGTGAACACCTGTGTGCAAGTATCTTTTCAGATATAAGTTTTCAAGTTTTTGGAGTAAATACTCAGTAGAGGGATTGCTGGATCATATGGTAGACCAATTCTTAATTTTCTGAAGACCCTCCATACTGTTT